AGTCCTTTGTGACATTTATTTTCAGCTACTTTATTATTTCTATCTTTTCCATGTTAACTCCTTTAAAATCATATGTGATAACTTAATAATATAACATCCATACATAATAATTTAGTTCCATTTCTGAAGTTATAAAAACGGATACTAAAAAGGGAATACAGCCAGGTCAAGGAAAACTAAATTTGGGAGGGCAGCCTTGATGTTTTAAGGCTAAATAAATAACACTTCTAGGTAGGTCTAACACCTCTTACACAATACCCTCATCTTCCAGCATTAGATCCAAGTATAACACTTTCCAATTTCCTGTGAATGCTGAATTATCTTCACTTCTAAGCTCAGTTAGTTCTTCTACCAGGGAGACCGCCAGTACCATATTTTACTAAGTCAAGGTCAGTCCTCCCTATAGGAGCCAGCAAACTGATAACCTGCAGCAATAAGACTAGAATTTTATTCTGGGTCCTTGGGTTTTAAAACAGAGGATGGCTCAGTACCTTTGAGGTAGTAATGTCAAGAATTGTTAACAATTTACACATATTGTGAAATACAACAAACAACCTTCTAAAGCAGAGGTTAGTAAACTATAGCTAATGGGCCAAATCCAGACAATTGTTTGTTTTTTTAAGTCCTGCAAGTTAAGAATGTTTTTAAATTTTTAAATGGTCACAGTTTAAATGGTTGTAAGAACCTATATTCTATTGCGAATTTTATTCTTGGTATGCAAAGCCTAAAATATTTTACTACCTGGCCCTTCCAGAAAAACTTTGCTGACGTCTTCCCTTATAAATTCTATGAAAGGCATTATATATGATTATAAAGAACCAATACTTTTAATGTTAAAATCTAGTATCATTACAGAAGCAGTATGATCCCAATTTAAATGCTAGCATAAGCATGCCTAATATATTATATATACACATGAAAAAGGGCAGGAAGAAAATCAACAACAAAATGTCAAGATACAGTTAATTCTGGCAAAAGTTATTTTTACCTGTTTTCTTCTGTATTTTTCCCAATATTCTTATGACAGCATATCTTTGTTATAATCAGGAAATAGTTTTAAAAGATCATAATGCACTTTTATAAGAACATAAAGACCAAAAATATCAGTGTCTTGAATTGTATTCATGTGGTTACTAACATACAGGTTCAGCAACACTTTGGTATTCACCGTTATCTATAAATCAAACTGTTAAGAATTAAAATAATGTTTTTACATCTTTTACCACACACAAAAAAAGAGAGGCTCTCTCTGTTTTAATTATCATAAGTCAGAGGTATTGATCTGACTACTTAAACACTACTCCAGAATTCATGTTCAGGCACACCACAAGATCCTTAATACAATTTTAAGTTCAATTCAAATATTAACTGTCTACTATATTCATGTTAGTTTTAATGTTTCTTTCAAAACATAAAAAATGGTGACTAAAATCCCAATATATTCTACATGCACTCCACATGCTCTTTATAACTACAGCATTAATATTTAAAGTCATATGGGACAGTACAATTTCTTATTAACAGTCACTAAACAGTTCAAACAAAAATACATTTTTACTGATAGAAAAAATATTACTATTAAAATATTCTGCTAACACTAAGGTACAGTGAAATAACTGTGACCGTTTTCATAAATAGTATTTTAATTTTCTTGTTCAATAATTATCACTTGTATGTTTTAGCTGTTATTTTGAAGCATATTATTAACTTTGTAAACATAAGACAATATACTGATGTATCTACGATGTGGTGTTACGACAAACTTAACTCCAACTTGATAAATGAGAGATTTACTTTGAATGGTTAGAAAGCATTTGAAAAGTCACAAATTCACTGTGTTCTGAAAAAAAACCAGTCTTCACTTTCTGGTTTATTTCCTGGGTTTATCTTGAAAATGCCCCTAAGTCTTACTTTTGAATGATGTTGAAGCCCAAATTTAATTCTCCCAAAGTATAAATTTAAATTAGAAAAACCACATACACTACAAACAACAGCTTTTCAAGTGCCACTCACATTTCTGTTTCCTTAATACTGTAATATTAATTGTTAAAAAATTTAATCTCATTAGAATGTAAAAACACCAGCTTTTTAAAAGTAAAAACTATGATCATGCCATGCACCAGAACTACTACAAAGTAATAAAGAGTCCATAGCTACTTAACACTGACTAGAGTCTTAGCTTTGTATAAAATATTTCCTCCTCTCCCTTTCCTCTTGATGCTAGAAGCAAGCATTGAATGAGAAACTTAAAACGTTTATTCAAAAGACACAAATCACACTCTGCAGTCCCTGTTAGGAACAATTTAAAGGCAAAGACTTAATCTCAGTACTGAATTACCACACTCTGAAAGCAGACGTCAAAATTCAAGTACTGGCCTTATCCTCTAAAATTAATCTTATTAGGGAGACTAATATTACAAATCCTGATTCTTTTTTTTTTCCTGTTATCAAGGATTGTCAAACATCCTCAAAAAAACCAAAGTTTAAGCTACTCTAACAGAAAACAGATTTTGAAGATGTTTTGTTTCATCCAAAATAAGTCTATCCTGAATTACATATAAACAAGTCTTGTCAGAACTACATTTAATCAGCATATTTTATAGGCTAACAACATCTCTCACAGATACATTAAACAGAGGCAATTTTGTCACTTACTCTAGGCTAGGGCTTCCTTTTTGGAAAAAATCTGCATACAAGTATTTAGTAAATAAAGTAAAAAAGACCCTTTGTGTATAAGGATATACAAAAGTAACTCAGTTCTATAGTCAACAGCCTCTTCTAAAAACTTTTAAAACTAATTTATTCCAAAAGATATGCAGCAATTCAACAGATTACAAAACTGTTGGTAAAGTTCTATTTCTGGTTTCTGCCATAATAAATACTAGGGGTTTAAGCTGAGCTGCTTTTTTGACTTAAAAAGATTTTTCCACAGTCAGCAACTTACAACAACAGTGCATACTGTAATACCAAAATGGAAACTACTTAATCAACATTTCCTCATGGAAACACAGATCATACATAATGGGTAAAGTTTTATTTTTAAAAGCAGTATTTAAATTTTATTTAGCAACACAAGCTCAATTTTTTCCTCTGGTTCCGTCATTACATTCAGTTAACTTTAGTCAATATTGATAACACACACACCAAAAACCTGAAATGTAAGCAGTAATATAAGACAATTTATTTATAATGTTGAATAAAACCACACTTTCATCTTTTCAGAACATAGGTCAGTGGTTTTTCAAGTCCTAGAGAGTAAATATGATCCTGTTCTCATGCCATGTGTTTTTAAAACTGTTTCTATAAAAAAAATTCAAGCCATGTGGAAAACCCAACAGAATGTGAATCATCCAAAACACAAATCTTTCAGATTTCAGGTTTCAAGTTACAGTCATCTATAGCATCACAGAAAGCTGACAAAAGATTGAAAACTGTAAGGCATGATTTCAGAATGTTCCTCTTCCCGTTCTCCCCACCCTCCAAACCACACAGTTTAAATTAATAAACAATAAAAACCTCATAACTAAAACTCCCTCAGCCTCATAGCTGGTCCTGTTGGTTTTACTACATAGTAACTTCTAAATTCTATCACCTATGAAAAACTAGAGGAAATAACTTTTTAGTCATTGAGCTTCTCATTTAAATAGGAAAATTACTCAGTATTAAACACGTTATAGTATAATTCAAAAGCCTTGGTATCCTAAAAGGAATCTTATAAAACAGATTTCAGTAAGTAGACATCATGCGGTAAGTAGATACACTCTACAGTCAGCCTTTCTTCACTAAATGTCATCTACTTAATAACCTTAAATTTCATGGCTTAAGATTACTACTACATTTTTTAAGAAAACAAAAATGACAGTTACAAGCATAGTTATTTAGCTTTTTGGTATGAAAAAGAAGAGAATCTGATAATGTCAATTGCTACCATGCATGTATCTGGTTAAACTAACCAGGTAAGCCAAAATAAACCATGATACACATATGAAGACTGGAAGACCCAAGGGAAGTAATATTCATTTGGCTTCTGACTCATACTTTTAAATAATCCACTGCAATACTCCTCATTCAATTGCCTCATCCTCTGTGCTTCCTCTTCACGTCTAAGCTCACTTCCTAAGAGTTTTTTTCTTGCAGGAATCAGCATTTATTGACCTCACAAAGTACAGACAATTGCCAGTGTCAGCAAAGAACACAAGAGATTGGAGAAAAGGCAGCATAGAAGATTGTAAAGGGTATGAAAGTATATCTTCTCATACAGTAAAGTTAGGAAAGATTTGGGAACTTAAATATAAGAAATACTGAAGATTTTGACATTTACAAAGAAATATGGCATTCCAACCCAAGAGTTCATTTCATTTGACTATTTCAGGGCCTAAAATTAGTTGTTTTACAACTGAGTGGAAGGAAAGGTAATGTCTGTCACATTCACTGGTACTAACACAGTTAAGCATTATTAAATCCTGAGAATTTTTAATACTGTCATAGAGCAATCTTACAAAGTTTCTTACAAACAAAAGTGCAAGTCTCTCGAGGTCATCTGAGAGCTCATGAGACTTTTCATAGTGGGATGGTGTTAATCCCCAATGCCCTGGCCTATTTCCAATTTGGATCATTAGTTTCTGCTTACCTAAATTTCTATTACCACTCCAACTGGCTCAGGTATTCTTTATTTCCTGTCTTGAACCACAGTCCATGCACTGATTATTAAACAGGCAGAGTGAAACTGGCTTCTTTGGGTGACTATGTAACACTGAAAACATTTCATACTCCTTTAGGATTAGTAAAACAGTAGTTTAAGCCATATTTTGTTTTGAGTGTTTAAAAGTTTTTACTATTATTTTATATGGTACACAAAATGTTTTGAGTGTAACTTCACATAGAATTTCTAGGTTTTACCTTTGTCAAGAGAATTTGTTAGTGATGAGCTTAAGTGCTAACAAAGCTGGGAAAGTGCAATTAAGGTTTTATTTCACACCATGTTAGTAACCAAACGTGAGCTAGTACAAGGGTGAAACGAAACTAAATGGACCCAGATCACTACTTCCACCTCTCCCTCTCTCTCACATACACAACACACAACATGCACATGCTTCCTTAAATTTGTATATATGTGTATGTACATGTATGTATAGTGTATAAATGTGTTTTTATACATACACATCATTTCAACCAGATATACATATGGTTCATAAAGATTAAAACTTAAAGATCTTCCTCTCCTCACAGGAACAGGTTTTACAGATCATTAAAACAAAGAGGGAGAGGTCTAATAATCCCTTAACCCAAAATTCTAAAATCAAAAAAATTCTGAAAACCAAAGTTTTACATAACTTATTTAATGATAAAACCTAACCTAAACTGACACAAGGATAATTATAGTGCTCTTTCATCCCACTCAATGTGAATGTTAATACGTTTCAATTCAGAAGTACCAATGTATATGATTACAAGGTTCTACAGATCCTTCCAGGGAATGTTACATAATATACAGTATATACTGCTAATTAAGTTTTTAAAATTCAAGAAATTATGGATTTTCAGTTCCACAACAAACCCAATCATGAGGTTTAGGGCTAAGAAACTGTGGAGTAATACTTTTATATTAAAAAAGTAAAGTTTATATAATTGTCTGTTTTCCCTCTCCAGTTTTCATTAACTGCCATCTTCTATAAGTTCAAAAGGAAGGAAGGAAGGCAAGCAAGGAAAGGAGGGAAGGGCAGCCACAATAAGGTTAATGTCTTTAACTCCTCTGTTTAATGCTTATTAATCCCCCTTTTGCCAAGAAAGGCTTACCCTGGACTACAGGCAGCATTAACAGCCAGAGAATGACTAGGGGAGACAGAGGTAACAGAAGAGAACTGAATACATATTAAAGTTCAGAGAAAATATTCAAGTCAGGAATTTTGAATCATAAGAATTTTCAATGAAAGAGAAGATACCATTTCCAATAATAACTCTGCATTAATAACAATGTTTTATTTTTTTCGAGTTTGTTTTCAAATATGTCATTTAACCTTCATACTTTATACAGTCACTCTACATAGTCACTTCATATACAACTCATTTGCAGAACTGTTACATATTTTAATCCCAGACTAACACCTACAACATATGTATTGCCTATCCCAAAGATCATTCAGGATGCATACCTACAGTAAGAAACTTAGATAATGTATTATAAGACAGAATACAAAAGACGTTTCAAATAGCAGTTACTTTTAGGATCAGAAGAGCACTGTTTACCCCTCAAAATTTGTTTGGAATTAAATCAATTTAAACCATTTCATCTGTTTTCTACAGAAAATGTACTTTTCTTCGCTTGAAACATTAAATTATATCCTACATAATCAAGATGTAGAATTACAGATTTTTTTCCTTTAAAAATGTAATATATCATTTAAAGGAATAATGGGTTTTAATATTTACTGAGGTTCATTTTGCAAGTTTATCTGAAACAAAAAGACTTGGCTATTTTATTTACAATAGTAAACGAAGCAGATAGTTAAATCATTGCAAGGTGAATCAGCTCCAATTTAAGATGCTAATTACAGATTTTCTGGAAATACATAATTACATCTGTATTAGATGTAATCACCATAAAAATAAACAGAAATTTCAAATTTATCTGTATTTTTAAAAGCATAGGATTCTAAACCTTGTTTATAACATTTTAACTAAATTAGACATATAAAATGTGATTATCTAAATTTAATTTAGTTTTATCAACCAAAGAAACTTAAAAATTTGAATTATTTACCATATTAATGCTTTAGCTTATTATTTTTATTTTTCAGTAGGCTCCATGAACTTATGTGTGCCTTGCTCACTACTGTATCTCCAAAACCTACCTGAGTGCCTAGAACTTAGCAGATACTGAGTAAATATTTGCTAAATAAATTTAGAATAATTTTTATATATAAAAACTATATATAAAGTTTCTATTAAAAAGCCTACTGTTTAAAGGCTATTATTTTAGTGAACTCTGATGAATTTAGTGTCTTAGCAAACGATTTCATAAGCTCATATTGTTAAATGAATCACCATTAGCCCTGAATTTCTTTATTACTGGAAATACAGAAAGATGAAGGATTGTAGCTCTAAACCTAGATAAAGCGATGAAAGTGATGATGACCACATCATTACTTAATCTTCAATGTCAAAAACCAACATCTAGTTCTGAGCACTAAGAATTCAGGTAATCCAATAATTTATCCAGTAACTATCTACTATGTGCCCAGCATTTTCCTAGGCAACCCAAATATATATATAAATAATATCTAGCCTCAAAAAAAAGCACAAATGTGAGAAAGGAGAGTCATATGAGTGAGTAATGTTAAAGGACTGGCAGGACAAACAATCTTACAGGAAAAGAGATGATGACTGAAACTGGAGGTGACAGTCATAGATGAGATGACAACTGATGTGGCTGCACAGGAATGCAGAGTAGGATGTGGGGGCTGCAAGAGTGTTAAGCTCAAGTTGTCAGAGAAAGGCATTATAAGCAGAGGGCAAAGCATGAGCAAAGGTACAGAAGTAAAGAATACATACGCACAAAAGGGAAAGATAGTAAAACTTAGTTTTAAAAATGAAATAACAGAAAACTATTTTGAGATAGACATTCTTGTAAAATAATTTTAACCGAAGATTATTCTCTTAGGAACCTAAAATTCTAGGACTAAATTATGAATTTATTCTAGGACATAAAATTTATGAAGTCGTCCCAGAAAAGCAACTCAATTTGCTATTAACTAAAATAAATAGAACAAATCTTAAATAAATCGTTTCCTTTAACATTTAAGCTCTAGTCAAAACAACATGAGCAACAGCTTCAAATCCTTACCACTTTCATAAAACTCATTGTCAGCTATTCTAAAACTCCTAAATTTAAATTCTTTCATAGCTGTAATCCTTGTCTCTTCAAAAGGATCATAAATTTCCTTAAGGGTAAAAACCGTATCTTAATAGTCTTTGAAAGCACAACACAGATAGAGAAATGCAGTAGATATTCATCAAATATTTACTGACTAATTTCTTACTGAGACTGGAATTTTTACCTTCTTAAAGCACATGCTATCTTAAAATACACTTGATATTATATAGTTCTGCAGCTTTTCATTGTTAGAAAACTCTGATAAAAAACTTGATAAGAAAACTAGGAATTCTCCTGAGAAGTTTTCATCTGTACTCTTATATCCCAGCATCAGGTTTGATTACAACCTTTGTGCTTTAGAGATAATTTTACTAGCCAACCAGCTCACTTATAGCAACCACAGGAGAGACCCTGAGAGTACTCGGTGTCTGCAACTCTAAGTTTATACATTAACCCAACATTCTAAATAAAATAATGCAACCCTGAAGTTTAGATGTTTTTATGCTTTATAGTTTTCATACTACCATGAAAAACTAAAAATATGTAACATGTGAAAAGACTTTTACCTTTTCGGCAGAAAGGCACAAATAGAAGACATGCCAAAATATTTAGTGAAGGAATAGTAAAGAAAATATAACTGGCATTAAAAATGTGCTTAAGCAATTCTGATGATAACTGATCACTTTAAAAACACTTGGGTGGGGAAAAAAGAACACTTGGTGAACTTCAGCAGTAAAAGGAACTATTGTTTCTATAACTGAAGGATAAATGCACAATTATAAAGGTGATTATGTTTATTTAGAACATTGGGTATTAGTCCATGAGTATACCTGAGTATTTAAAAAAAGAAAAGTTTGAGGTAAACATTTATTAAGAATATGTGTGAAATAATATATAGTACTACAAATTTGGAAAGTATGAAATTAAGGATACTTCCCATATGAGGAAGAAAATAAACTTATTTATTAAAAAGCTTCGATTATATATACCTTGCTTCCAGAAATAAAAATATTCCTGGAAACTGCCCATAAGCAATTTTAATAAAAAAAATTAATTCTCATTAAATTTAACAACAATTTAAAAATATTACAAGACAGGATTTAAAAGAGAATGCAAAGGGTAAAAGGTTAGAAACAATCAACAAAATTCACGGTGAAAAAGGTTTTCTAATGATTAGTTAGACTTGTAATCTTGATGAGTATTATAAGAATTTCATTCTAATCCCTTCATTTTTACTGAGGGCTTCAACCAAAACTGTTCCTTAAAAAAAAAAATCAAGCTTTTAGTTTGTTATGCAATTTATTTCAACTAATTATACCATAGCCTTGTCTATAGCTGGCTGAACCTGAAGTCTGATTTGCTTTGTGTTGTTTTTGCTATCCTTTGAAAATTCTTAATGATAAAGAAACTAGAGCCTATTATTACCTGGATAAAAAGAAAGTACCTTCAAAGAAGGATTACCTAATCCACATAATAAAATAACCATGAGGTTTTGAAAATACACCTGCAAGTCTTGTCCCTAGTAGTCTTTTTCCACTCAATTTATACCATGATCTATCTACGGAAGGAGTATCTTACATGTAAATGAAACTGACCTGGGACTATTCAGCTAGTTTTTTTTTTTTCCTTTCCTTTTTCCAACACGCCAGATTGTTGCTGTATAATTACTACCTCAGAAGCAGTAAAGTCTGTTTTTTTGAACTGCCATCTCATGAACACTAGATGCTTCAATTTTCTTTTAGATATTACAGCATGTATAATACCTGACTTTAAATGCATGAGCCAACTTTAATTTTTACTAAAATAATCATCCTCTAATCCCTCTGTACTGTTACTTCTGAGACTTCAACAAGTCCCAAAGTGTTTGACTTAATGGTGGCTAGAATCAAAGGCACAGAAAACTCAAATTGATCCTGAAAATTGTACCAAGAGTTCTATACTTCATCATGGAATCATAGATTGCAACCAACAGCTGTTCCACTCATCAGCTATTTTAAGCCATTTAATATGATCTGCAGTAAGACTAATTCTTTTCTAAATAAGCATGTCAACACTTACATCAAACTATGCTATTCTTCAAAACTGTCTCCTTCAAAAGTTTCTTACTTAATGTATGCTGCCACTCTTCAAATAATTTCCGAGCTTTCTTTTCAGAAATCTCCATCATAGACTATTTAACCACATAAATAAAATCACTCTTAGTATGAAAACACCGGATTAATACTCTTGGCCTGCCTTTTCCCGCTTTCCTTCCCACCAGCCCCTTTATTCTTATATTCCCTTAAATCTGGTCCCTGACTTTGTTCTCCTAATGATTTTCTGAAACCAACACTTGGAGAATTTATAGGGTAGGAATGAACCTTGAAGAAACCCAGGTGAATGGAGACCCAGTAGAACAAAAGAAATGGATGGAAAAGCGGACAATCATTGTCATGCTTCTTGCTTGCTTGTAACACAGGTAAAAATTTCATAAAGGCCATGAATGAGTTGCTTTTTTTTTTAAATTGTATAATGTCTACACTTTTTTTTTGAAAGAAATAGTTTCCAAGACAACAGTTTCCAAGTCAACACTGGGGGATTAGAAGAGGAATGTTTCAAAATATTAACGGAAGTCAGTGTATTCTGAGGCTCTGCCCACCTGCAGGTGACTTACACCTTACCTTCTTTCCCCCAACATTCCATATTCCCTCCTGTCATAGCTCATCTTGCCCTGCAATAAGATTAACTTCCTCCACAACAGTCATACTTTAATTGAGGCCAACTCAAACCACCAAGAATGGTCAAATACAAACAAATGATGTTCAACAACTATTTCCTGAATTGAACTTGGGTGGAACGGCTGTGAAATAGCAAGATTTGTTGGTAGGCAATCTCCCATCACAGCTGCTATTAGCATAGGTGCCCTTTTTAATCCTCTACTTTCTAAAATGACAGCATATTCTAAGACTGTTGGGGTCAATAACCAGAGTAGGTGAATGCAATCTGGTCCATTACTAAGAAATATAACTGGGTAATTCATTTAAATCATGGATATGAAGAAAAATCTGTATTTCTTAAGAAAACAACTAAAAGATCATTTAAAATAAACAAAAAATAAACTACTTAATTTGGTTAAGATTAAGTTGGGTGGGAGAAATCTTCCCTTTGTTTTGTTTCTGCTGTTTTTGTAACTTGAAGAATCAAGATCACCTTTTACATCTCAATAAATTACTATGGTACATGGAAATATATACACATTCTTTCCAAACTATAAACTCTTCCTTACCGACTAATGGGCCGTTTATTAATTGTATACATGTAGATTCACTTTTGATTGCATTTACCTCAAATAAGAGATTCAAATTCAGTTATTCAAGTGAAGTATAC